AAAACAAATGAAACTGTCTACGTTGATCAACATTGGACACAAGACAGATTAGAAAACTATAACTACAAAATAAATTGGAAGAATAGGAAGCAAAACGCAGTATTACCTGAAATCATATAATAATGATAGGATTATACAGATCTCAGAGTACAAATTAGGTTATTAATCTTTCAAAGTAGAGGTGCTTCCAACAGCTTTCAAGTAATTAATTTTTTTTTGGCCTTTTCTTAGACATAGATATGGGATAACTTTATCTCATTAGTAGTTGTTTTACAACATTGTAAGGTAAAGCGGTTTAATTTTTGATGAAAAAAAAGGTAAACACCACGATCGATTTTGATGTCAGTTACTACTCATTTTACTCGTAATTTGACCTGCCTGCCCCTATTTGTAAGGGATGAGTTTTGTCAATTACAGTGATACAGTTTTCGGGTGAAAGAAAAAAAAAACAATTACCCCCAGATGTCAACATTAAAGCTGACTTCATAACCAACAAACCGGAAGACGCGTTCTCACCTAACTGCTTCTTGGTTCGCCAGGTCTAAATTATAAACAAGCTATGATTATTAACATAAACAAAGCAGTTTTGTACAGTTTCTCCTCCAAACGTTGTAGCAGTCATCAGTCATTTCTTAGTTTCCCTAATCGCAAGACACCTACAAATTCTCAAAAAAATTATTAGATTAAGAACAGTTGTGAAAAAAACAAGCGCTGAATGAAAGACGGGGGAAAAAATTCGCCGCTCGGCTTCCCTCCTGAACATTATTTCGCAGTGACAGAAACGTCTCTAAAACCTGAAAACTAAGAGGATCTCAATGGGGTTAACCACTAGCCATTAAACGGCCAAAAATTTAAGTTGTCAGGCGTAAAAATAGACAAATTTTAATCCCTAGCCGTAAAAAATGTTCACGGGATTTTTTTATTTTAATCGCAGCCCGAAGAAATATACTGTTGGCCGTTAAAAATGCCAAGATATTAATCGTCACCCGTAAAAACCATCATCCTATTGAGACCCTCGACTAACAGTTAATTGGTGGAAAGATCTTTTAACCCTTTAACTCCCATGAGTGACCAAGACTGAATTTCTCCTTATAATATCAATACAATATCAAACAGATAAGTGATGGGAATAGAGAAAAATATCAATTTGGGGATAATCAGTTGATCCAACACTACATTCTCTGAACTAACTTTATATGAACTGCATGGTTGACAGTGAGGAGAATTTAAAAATTTGATCTGGGAGTTAAAGGGTTAAGGTTGTAAAGCCGTGGGTCAACAAATGATTGTTATTTTCCTTCATATGATACTTTTTTACATCGGAATGTAAATTTACAGTCCCAGTCCTGCCCGGAGGCTGTGACCGCCGGACAGTGAGTCATTTTCTAGGAAACGTTTCCAAAAAGGCTTAATAACTGGCGTTGTTCCAAAGAGATAACTCAGTTTAAACTGAAATCAAGTTACCTTCTACTTTCTACGAATCTTTCGTTTCAAGGAAATCTCAAGGTGAATGCAAAGATACTGATTCTTTGATATGATGTAACGAAACTTGTCTGTCGCCTATTCATCAAAGTTTGTGCAGCATCAAGAAAAGGTAATCATAATTTGGATCGTTTAAAGTCGTGTATATATCCTATTTGATCATTCCAGGCTGAATAAATCTGGCGTTGGACATATGTTAACGAAAATATGGGGTCATGATAACAATGTTTGCAGTAGACGAATCATGTATGTTATAGTACGTTTGTTCTTGACTCAGTTGAAAACGCCCTTCAGCCAAGTTTGACTGTATCGCCGCCTTTTCAACTCTGCAAATAAAATTTGGTTGCCATGTTAATTTGATCATTTCATTAAACATTTCACGTCATCAATGGTTGTTTGATCGTTAAGTTACCCTATAAGTACGATGATGATCGAAATATTTGCTCGTAAGGGCCTAAGTCGTCGAATTTACCAACTTGTGCCTCCGAAATATCAAATGTTTAAACATCTATGGCGCTACTTGTATTTATTCCGACCTCACAGCCTGAATCATGAGTGACTACTGTGAATAAATCACAATTTAAGCTCATTACCGAGAAATGGCTGAATGCTTTCGCTGCTAATTGAGAAAGGAATCGTTCTTGCAAAGGACATCGAAAGAAATAACGTCAGTGCAGTCCATTACGATGATCACGCTTTTACTACGAACTCATGCATGCGAGACAAGCGGACATTTTGAATGACCTTTGTTATTTGTATTTACAAAAGGGACAGAGATCGAAAACCAACCGATTTACTTCTTATTGTTTCATGAACTCCTACTCCATATCAGTAAGTTCAATAACATTCAGGTGGACATCATTTTTGCTTGCTGCTTTGGAAATAAAATAAGTTCGCATAAATGTATCAGTGCTCTATCAAAGAACTTTGATCAATTCGCAAATAGGTTTATTTTGTGTCCTTCAAACTGCCTTCGGCGCATGGGACCAGCTGATTTTTGTTAATTTTATAGGCATTCCGCTTTACAATTTCTGTTTCGTCTGAACCTCAATCTGACCCGGCTCGCTTTATTGTTAAACTCGTTCTAATTGTCTCGTACACGGGAAACAAAACGACAGCGACCGCCGAAAGAAAAGAACATGTAAACGAACACGAAGCAATACCTTATCAACGCACAAAGCATTTTATCTTAGCTTAAAACGAGCGAAAATAAGGAAAAGAAATCCCGTTTCTTACCAGCACAAGTATTTCTAAGACCGAGTTTTGGAATACACATATGAGAGAAAACTTCACCGAACACAATTAAAGGCGACTGAATTGCAATGACTCAAGGTTGACCAAATCGCAGTTCGACTTGGTGTTGGGTTTCGGCCTTTCCGGGATTTCCTGTTTTCCGGGAATCTGGCCTTTAGGTTGACTTATCTTGAGTTTCATTACGCCGCCAGAATGAAACAAAAAAAATGCCAGAAATGTCTGTAAACTTTTCACAAATTATCAAAGTGATTGTGATGACAATAAAAGGCCAATCAGACGAAAAGTAAGCAACGCGAAGTTACTCGAATAAAGCGAGTTTCAATGCAACGACAACATTCGGGAAAATCCAGCAAATTGTCAAAGATTTGTTTTTCTCAAAAGCTGCCTATCACCTCAAATAAAAGGCCAAATCATCATGCAGAAAACGATAAGAGTAAACTAGGAAAGAGGTTACAAATGGCAGAATTCTTCCTATTTCAACTTTTTTTCAAGAATACACTTCTTAGTTCTGAGAACTTGTTTTCTTCGGCTCTGCATGACTCTCGTCTGCTCATTCAGTTTGGATATGTGATTGATATCTATACGATAAACAGAGTAGTATAATTATGTCCTTATGTGGATACTTATTTACCTTTTTGAGATGATAATATCTCTTCGAGTCGTTCGCCTGACTTGTGAAGGAAATCATCAACACTCACTGGCCATGCAATATCCTTAATCGTTTATATACTAATGAATTTGAGTGTAAAATTTGGCCATAACAAGTCTGTGATCAGATCAAGCAGAGGTCTTTTTTTCGTTACTTAGGTAATAACCCAGTCTGACGTTCGTGACAGAGGGGATTAATCCTTCCTGCACTCCAACGGGTCTGTTAATTAACGAGCCATTGACTAACGGATATGGCGCCACGTAACGCAAATGACGCCAAATATTTCTTCATAGTGAGCCAATACAGCCGCGGTAAACTGGTTATTAATATTCGTAAAGGCATTAAAAGCGGAGTCCTTGAGATCGTGAAACCAGAACGTGGGCGGTCAAGTCAGTTGTGGAGATGGGATGAGAGTTGCCGGCTGGTCAGCAAACTGGGCCTTGTGGCAGATATCAAAGATGAGAGTAAGAAGGAGGAAGCCGTCTGTCACGCCTGGAAAGCTCACGATGGCCTCAGCCAAAAGTGGCGAGTCGAAAAAGGTGCCATTAAGAGTAATCTGAGTCATCTTGTTATCGATTGCTCACCTCCCAGATGTAATGTTTTAATGAGAAGCTTCGATGAATGCAAGGAACACCAAAAATGGCATTTTGTTCCAGAAAAGGCATGGGACGATTTTCAACTTTCACTGACAGAGCCAAACCCCCTTAAAAAGGCACTGTTCTGGAAAAAGATGGTTGAAAATTATCTTGACGTCATCATGGGATACAGTATTACAGAGTTTGAGGCCAGAGTCCAAAAAGCTTTTAAAGTCATAGATGAATGTACCAGCAGACTAGAAGAGGTAACAAAGGGTACTGGTCTCGCAAGAAAGGTCGGTGGAGGTGTGTCAGTCGTAGGAGGTTTAGTTTCTGTGGTTTGTCTTTCGCTGGCTCCATTTACAGGCGGAGCCACCTTGCCCTTTGCTGCAGGAGGAGCTGTCGGTATGTTCACAGGAGCAGCTGCATCATTTACAACCAACGTGGTGCACGGCCAACTGGACGAGCAGAGCAGAAGAAAAGTGAATGAAGCCACAGCATCACTCTTCTGCGCCACTTACCTCTTCCACTCGCTGTTGGGTGAGTGTAGTAAATACCTGCAAGAAGCGGATGAATACTTAGAAAGGCTGAAGCATGAAACGAGCACAGAATCCTATTCCAAGGATATCGCGACCGGCCAAGCCGAGGAAATAAAAAGGCTCGTCGCGTGTACTCTCTCAGTCGAAGGCGAAACCCTTTCAACGGCTGGATTAACTGGTACAATGGCTCTTTCCCGAGCGATGGCTGGTTTTGGAGTGCTGGCCGGCATCGTGAATATATATTCAGGAGCTAAGACGATCGCCAGCAGCGAAGAACTAGCAAAGGAATTCCGTCAGTCTTCTGAATGTCTGAAAAGAGAGGCTGATAGACTCATACGCCTATACAAGGAACTCCACCAAGACAAACAGAGTAGAAAGTAGTGCAGCCTCAACCAAGAATTCCATCAAAATGAAGAGGGCGAGGAGTCATGTTTTAACTACGGAAAGTTAGCTTAGACTTATGTAATCGCTCGAGAATGCTCATGTTCATATTACAGATAATGATAACTGCAAACGTAGTCATGATGTAAAACTACCAAAATATAGTTGTGTTGTAAGCTTCCGGAATGTTCTCGAGTACTTTGTAAATTTATATAAGGACTCAGTCGTAAAGTAATAGTTTCTGTTGTCGGGAGTGACCGACTATTTAGAAACCTATACCAAGAATGAGCTACTGTTCATTTCGAGGAGATTTGGAGATAACTGTGAGATTGTGTGAGAGGTGAGCTAAGATATAGCAAGAGTTTCATCGCAGCGACAAAATCTTAGAAAATTTCTTGGATGAAAGGGTTCGAATTAACTTTGTCAGTAGTTTTGTTTTCTTTTTTAGATTTATTTAGAGCTTAGATTCATTTCTCGACATGTATGGTTTTTTCATCGAGAAGTAGGACTTTTAAGCTTATCTGCTACAGTGTCCTGAATTCCGGCTTAGAAATTGATTGTTTGATTGTAGTATGTAAAAAGAAACTATTGTGTGGACTTTTTTCATTGTGTGAATTCTAGTTACAAGTAAGCGAATTGATTAATCGGCATCAGATCAACTAACACAACCAACTTCCATTAACTTAATAAGGACAGTAGGTAAACTTTTTCTAACGAGAATTACATGTACAGTAGACGAGGGTCCGAGATGAGGGGGAGGGGAATCCTTATGTCGGTTGTCGGTTAGAATTTCATCACTTAGTCTTAGATTTTCGTCGGTAGTCGTTAGATGTCCGTTAACGATTTAAAATGCAAGTTAATTGATAACATTTATTAGGTAGTTCGTGGGATCGAGTACCAGACGCTGCTCTGGAAACGAGCCCGCGCTCCCAACTGGCCCCAATGTAAGTTCATAACAGGAAATTCTATAATGAACTGAATCTTTAATTTAAAGTGGCTATCTCCTAAGCTAGGATGCTTTTCTTTCTGAATACCATCGCCAGAAATCAAGGACATTTCGAGCCCGCTAAACAATTTGGACGCTTCGAACTCACTAGCATATAGCAGTCAATTCGATCGAGAGCAGTTGACTTTATTGATGCACTTTCCTGTAATTGGCGAGTGTTTGGGATGGAGAACGACGGATTTTGAAGAACTGTATGGCGACCTAGGTCAATAATCAATGACAAAAGAACTGGCTCGGGAAGTAAGTGGTTTTTATTTATCGAGTCCCTGTGAAGTTTGATGAATAGCAGAATCAGTACTGAATATGTCTCGATCGAGAGAACACGGGACCGTGAGCTCCTGATTGTTATATTTTAGAAATTTTACAAATTTCCATACAGTTTCTTATATTATTTGGACGCCATTATGGACGAAATGCGCAAGCGCGGCCGCCATCTTGTCCAATATCTGCCGATGAAATATCGATAATATCTGACCATGTCGGTTAGTATTTACTTGTTGATAATCGGTAGCTTTTTTAAGTTGGCTTTTGCATAATTGTCATAACTGTCATTTTCGCCTTTTTCGCAAGCGTGTTTTACAAAATTTAGACCCTATTAGACAGTAATCAAAGTGATGAATTCATGGCCCTAAGAATAACTGGAAATCGAAATAAAATAACAACAGTAATTGTAAGACTGAAGACTTGAGATCAGTCAGTTGAACTTTCAAATAAACGATTGTGTATATACATCCAGATTCTCGATTGTCTCATTTCACCGAAGAGGAATTAAAAATCGAAAAAAGCGTAGCTGAGCGGAAGGCACCCAGGTGTGCCTGTGACCCTGGCTCTCTGTGAGAAATCTTATACTTTCAAAAGCCAAAAGAAAACTTCTTTGTAAATTATTGTGGAAAAAATATAAATACTACTGCCACGGATTGGCAGAAAATAAATGTATCTCCCAAAATCCCCTTCTTCCCCCTCGTCACTTCTTTAACGGTATTGTCGCCAACAAACGCGGTGCCAAAAACGAACTCGAAGTCACAGTCACTCCTTTGCAAGAGAACGAAAACAATGCTGACTAGCCATGAAAAGCGTCACGCTCTTATATTAGTATCTTTATCTTCTTTTCTTCGATTCAGACTATAACAGTGTGAAAAGCATGAAACAACAACAACAACAACAACGAAAACGAACAAACCGAAAAAATAACCAAAAAAATGAGGTTCCTGAGTACGTATACTCTTCCCGCCAAATTTGACTTTGTTCCCAGGCCTAAACTGTCCGCATTTTGAGTTGCCACGGAAAAATGTAAATGAGTCGGAGGCAGTTTATGAAAAATACTAAGCAGAACTAAGCATCAACCAGGTGAATGTGCGACAACAATGAGCGACACATCATTCCAATTAGCGTCTGTTTGGGTGCGTTGTTAAGGGATTTACACCAGCGCAACAATACTTGAAACATTTTGGACAGATAATAAAAATAGTCGACTCCGCATCATCTATTTTCGAATTGAAAATGGTTTTCTATAATCGAGTGATGGTTCGGACACGAAAGGATGGTTCTTGATCCAATTCATATTGACTTGTAATACTATAAGAAGCTTTTTCCTACTAACAAGTTGTTGATTTAGGCTTACGTTACCTAATTCACCTCGGCGATGACCTCTGTGAGTTCCACTGTTACAGCCGGTCGGCGAAGGACTTCTAGTTCCTCTGATGTGATGGCGTCGATGACAGCTGCGAGAGCTGCAGCGACATATTTCGACAAAATAGAACGTTACGAGTTGCAAGAGACACTTGCTTATACTTCAAGCGACTGGCTGCTTTCGACTGAAGACACGAGGATTTCTGTTGAACCGCCACGCGGACTGATCGCCGGGATTCAAATCCCGAGCGATTTCAACAACTGTTTGATTCTTATTCCTGAAGAAGAGGGCATCGAGCCGTTGGAATTGCGAGAAATGCATCAGATCGTACGTGAACTGGTCACGGGAATTTACATTTTGAATCAAACGCCGTCGATTACTTTGGAAGCGAATTACGATTGCAGCACATCATGTCAAATTCCACCAGCTTACTATGACACGCGAATCGGCCAGATATTGACAGATGTAGATTATATGATGAAGAGTCTTTGGCACGGGGCATACTTCCCAAAAGATAAAAGAACTAAATTTGCTGAGCGATGGAGGCAGGCTGTAAATCTAAATACAACAACTGGAGAGCCAGAAACACGAAGAAGCTTGCAACTAGTGTGGACAGAGGCTGGTATTTTAGATTTGGCTATAGATCCTGAACTGACTGAAGCATACAATTCAATCCCTGATGAAAACAAAGATGACCTAGATGCTACTGAAGAGAAGAAACATTTTATGAAGCATGTGGATGAATTAGCGCTCAAACTGACCTTATTTCAAAACACTGTCACTCAACATCAAAACATATTTTTGACAGATGCCAATTATCACATTTCAAGCATTGTTAAGTCAGATAAAATTGATCTTCAAAGTTACGAAAAGCTGCAGAGAAGGCTTGGAGTTCATCAAGAGTTCATCAGGAACACCCTGCTTCTCAAACCAGACATAAAACGACAGCTATGTCTGCTTAAATTTATTAGTTTCATGGTGCCATTTTTGATTGCAATCAAAAAACGTTGCAAGGTTCCAGATGTTAACAAACTTCTTCCACCATTTACTTTTGAAGAGTGCAAAACTGAGCGTGAATTTCCACCTCTGATCTTGAGACCTGAATTCAAGTGTAAACACTTTGATCATTCAGAGAAATACTTTCATTTGCATGGTGGAATTTCCTTTGTCCGTGAAACCCCACCTGCTCAGAAAATCTCTGCTGCAATTGTTGCAGAGCAAGAAAATCTGGAATATGTTGCATCTGATGCTTATAACAAAATAATGAGCTCAGACACAGTCATGTTGGAAAGCTACCCAATGGCAGCAATTGAAATTGATGGTAAAAGTTATTTTGTGCTGAACATTCACCTGGAGACCTTTTACCCTGTATCACCAAAGCATCCATTGTGGATACATGCACATTATGATGAAATTGTAAAATTGAAACCTAAAAGGCTTCCTGTGCATGAGCTCCAGATTCATGAGCAATTCAAAAAAAGATATGGCTATCAAAGAACTGTGAAACTCAAACAGATCCCTGCTGGGTTACAAGCAAGTGCTCATAGAGGGCTGGTCTCAATATTTCATACTATGACTCGTAGATTGCCACCATCACGTCTGACAACTCAAGACTCTTCTGGTCTGTCCCTCATTCATCATGCAGCCATGTTCAACAGACCACAGATTATTACCATGCTGGTAGTAATGGGTTTTGATGTAAATGTGCGTCGCTACAATAACATTTCTTCACAAGGTGTAAGTCCGCTGCATCTGGCAGCCAGATGTGGTGCTTTAGACAGCCTTGTATGCCTAGTGACATACAAAGCTGACGTGATGATGTTTGACAGCCAGGGATGGGTGTCTGTTCACTATGCTGCCTTTTTCAATCATGTTGACTGCCTTCTGCATCTAATTCGCCATGAACCCAAACTACTAGAACTCAAGTCCAATGATGACTTAGAGTCCACTCCAATTCTTTTAGCTGCATCCAGTGGGGCATTAGATGCTGTGAAATGCCTGATTGAGCAGGGAGCACAGTATACCTCTATAGACAAGGAAGGAAATGGAGCTGTTCATCTTGCTGCTCTTCACTTTCACACCAACACACTGAAATATTTTATCAGTTGGAACAATGATGACATCCCTGTGTGGGACCTCCTTGTTGGTATGTTGAAGTCTGATGACATCAAGAGGAAGCATAGTGCTGTTAAATGCCTGGAGGTCCTGTCTCTTGCAGCAGAAAACAACTGGAAATTCATCCTGATGGCAGAAGGTGTTCCAGCCCTTGTTGATCTTCTTCGACTTGATAATGTGGAGCTACAATCTCTTGCTGGATCTGTTTTGTGCAACATTGGAAGTCACAATGAGGTCAGGGTAGAAGTGTCTAAAGCCAATGCAATTCCTGTTGTCGTCAGTCTTTTGGCATCACCTGTTCCCATGATCCACTCTCGTGCTGCTGTCATCCTTGGAGACTTAGCTTGCCTTGATGTCAACCAAGGAAAGATCTCGGAGGAAGGTACAGATATGATGAGGGTACACAATCCTGAATAGTTACAGTTGAATCATATTGAATTTCATCAACTTTCTAATTTTTTGTTTAAACCAGATTACATCTTTATGGGTAGTTATACAATGTACATGTACATGTAGGTGACATGTGTCCTCTACAGAGAGAAGTTGTGTTATCACTGTATATGTTTGTGGAGGGAATTTTGTTTCCTGTTAGGGCTGATAACCCTTTGAATCCCAAGAGTGACTAGCATCTAATTTCTTCTTACAATGTCACCCCTGAATCATGCATAAAGGTCATGAGAAAAAAATTAAATGATCCCTAACTTAAGATCTGAAGCTCTTGATTGTTAAACAAATTCTCCTTGTCAGCACCTTAGGAAAGCTATAGAGAACAGTATGAAGAATAAGCATAGTGATATTAGGGTGTAAATGAACTACATTGTACAATCATAGTGGGTAGGCTGAAATAAGCTTGCTTGTTGCTTCTCATGGAGAGTAACCAACTATGCTTCATCACAAGGTTTCAAGACATTACATTTGTTTCTTTTAGTCATGGTCAATCGTTCATGTTTAATTTGCAAGTAAAAATGATATCAGATTAGATTGACATCAAATCACTTTGTTTTGTATTTTCTTTTGAGCACTTCATTTATATCACTATTTACAATAATCTGTAAAAGTTTAGGGAGAAAATAAAAATCCGATTGACCCTCCACACACTAACATCATAATGCATATTCTCCCTATTGTTCCCTGTATGATTATTTCCTGATTAGAAGTTTGTTTGAGGATCAAGAGCTGCTTACTTTAGTTGATGATCATTTTCTTTATTCTTGTGATCTCAATGTGTGATTCAGGGGAGATATAGTGAGGAGAAATTAGATGCTGGTCACTCTAGTGGTTAATAAGGTATTGAACAGGTGTACTTAGTATTTGATATAGCAGATTTGTAGCCCTCAAGTGGATCTGTTTATATCTTAATCTTTTATAGGTATTTTTTTATGATTTTCAGGCTTCAGCTGTGGTATACATGTCTTTACATTTTTTAAATTTTTATTAGGTGGAATACAATCACTTGTTGTACTCCTGGACTCTAAACTTGAACATGTGTTGGTGAATTGTGTCAATGCACTCAGGGTCTTGTGTGATGGTAGCTATGACAACCAGACAGCTGTAGCCCAGAGTGGAGCTGTGGACACCCTAACAGAACTTCTAAGTAAGAAAAATCTACTGTCACTTGGTAAATTGTTTGTAGGGATATGAAGCTGCATGGTAGATGATATCTACCATGCAGCTTCATACAAAGGAAACAGGTATTTGAACAAGAATACAATCGGAGCAATCACATGTGCTCTGTCAGGACTGAATAAGAAATTGCTGTTCTCAGAATGATTTTGTCAGTTTCCAAAATCTTGTGCAGTGTGGTAGTTACCAATTTTTTATGGGAAATGGCAAAGTTGCTGATCTATTTTGTTACTGGCCTGCTGTAACAAGTACATTCAAGAGACAGTACATAGCAGTGGTATACCCATTAGATAAGGGGGGGAGGGGGCAAGGGGGATGTGAACAAAAGACTGTTGCCTCCAATAGGAACAATAAATAGAGAAATTCGGAAAGGGCCTTTTAACAAGAAGTGTGAGAATTAATTCCCTTTAACTTCTATGAGTGACCACAACAGAATTTCTCCTTACAGTGACCAATACAATATCAAGTAGACAAGTGGTGAGATATTGGAAAATTTTAAAAGGGGGATTATTAGTTGATCCATTACCAAATACTCCAAACTAACAACATAAGAATTGTATGGCAGACAGTAAGGATAATTACTAATGAGATCTTGGGAGTGAAAGGGTTAAAGAGAGATGTTTTTCATTTTGTAAAAACATTGACATGATGAAAATATTTAAGTCCGTTAATAAGACTCAAATCACTGACCTGTAGATTTTGCACAGCAACACTTTACCAGTGAGCCACAGGGAACTCAATATGGAGTGTGGCCATTGATATTCAGTGTTATCACCCTTCAGGTGCAAAGTCAAAGAACCTTCAAGCAAACACTGCAGCATGCCTGAGTGCTCTGACTAAGGACCATCGGGAAAACCAAGATCTGGTTGTAGCCAAAGGAGCTGTTAAGCCACTAGTGTCTTTAGCAAAGAGTACCAAGACACTTTGCCAAGTGAAGGCTGCAAGTGCCTTAGAATCACTTGCTACCAGTAATCCAGAGGCACAAAAAGAGATTGATGCAGCAGATGCCCAGAGACCTCTCATTAGACTCTTGAAAATGTGGGCCATTGAGGTCAAAGAACAAGGTATGCACATTATATTTGTAACTTACAATAGAAGGGTTCCTATAGTTTGGAAAAGGCTGAAAATGTTGATGATTATAAGCCCTGTTCTTTCAGGGGGCCCCATTGTCATTTATTAGATTCTTGTTTTTAACAAGTACTGTAATTTTACTAATTTGGTGATGTTAATCACCTTTCTCTTAATGAATGGCAAATTTTAAATTATACTGTGTTAGCAAAGTTCTTCACCACATCTTGTGCACAGCTAACTAGAATATTTCACAACTACTACATCAAATAAAACTACTACTGTTCATAGTGGAAGCAGAGATGCATTGGGTGTTCAGAGGAGTTGTACTTAAAAAGGATTATTTCATTTTAAGAATAAATGAGAGTTACTTCAGACAATTTCTCAGTAGTTAAAAAAAATTAATAACTGTAACCACGAACAAAAAAATGAATCAATTTATGAATGAGACAACAAATAAATTATGTATTTTATGTGTCTGTGAACACATCACTGATTTGGTATTTAAAAAGTAAACCACACTTTCTATCGGTTTGCCAGTTAACAAACCATTTGGGATGTTGGGAAAACACTCAAAAAGTTTGTTTACCATTCGACTGCACCTCGTGGTTTACAAACCTTTCTCATGTTCTCCCAACATCCTGCGTGGTTTAGTAGCCGGTAAACCGATAGAGAATTGTAATTAATTGCTCAAATGAGGCAACATATATGTGCCATGTCCATAATTTAGATCATTGTGTCCCCATATCTTAAATGTCTTGCTGTAGTCAGACTGTGCAGGTCCATGAGAGTTCATCCATTTACTGTTTATTCTTTACAATCAGGTGCCAGTGCTCTGTGGGCTTTAGCAGGCGTCACTCGGCATCAGCAGCAGCGTATTGCCAGCATGATTGGTATTAACATTCTAGTTGATATGCTCATGCTGAAGTCAGAGACTCTACAGTTTATTGCTGGCATGGCCATTATTGCATTAACCACAGAGAACATTGAAAATCAGAACAAGATTGTGACTGGAGGAGGAATACAACCTCTTGTGAGGCTCTTGAGGTCTCAGAAGACTTCTGAAAAGGTTAGTTTAAGTAACACGTCTTCCTGATGTTGTCAAAGACAACGTGAAACATTTTTGAAAAGCACGGGAAGGGGAAAAACCTGAGTTAGCTCTTTGCATCCGCATGATAGCCAGTTCTGGGTAATCCACCGCAATTGCGGCAACCACTAGTTGAAAAAAAGAGTTAACATAACTTTATTTTTTAATTACTCCTGAAATTTGGTGATAAAACAGGTGACGTCCGGTCAACTTTTTCGATTTTCTTCAACCCGTCGATTACCGTTGTAAAAAACGAAGACAAGATACAAAGGAAAGCAATGTTAACTTAACTACCAAAGTAATGGCTCCGAAACGTTTTAGTCTCTAAGGCAAATGTGGTTCTTTTGTAGGTTCTGTTGATGGTGATCCGCGTGTTGGGTATCCTGTGTGTTGGCGTGGCTCATCAATCTAACAAATCCACTCAGCTTGAAATAACAAACGCTGAAGCTCTTGTTACTCTTGTGCATCTCCTGCGTACCTCAAAAAAGCCGCTCATTCAGGTAGGTTTTTAGCGCATTTCAATAGTATTTTGATCGTGTAGTCTGATCCTCTGGGCGAGAGTAGTCCTGGGAAGTTGTCGATGAGGGTGTCAATCGTATAGGCAAAACCGGTAGATACATTAGCCAATCAGAAAAGGAGAATGTCACCTGCAACCAATGAGAAATGAAAGGGAAAAAGGCGGGCTGCCTGAAGCGCGGGAAAACACCAAGTCGCGATTGGTTTTTGTCCCGAGTGCGATTTGTCGAGAAAATGGCGCAAGTTTTCCAGACCAGTCTTCTAGAAGGGTCTTTTAAACCTATGCAATGGTCGACACGTAGTTGATAATTTTATAGTCGTTCAGAGAGGTTTGATATATTAAAGCGGAAAAAAGGCTCGATAAACAAGGAAACGTGTCTGCGTTTACCCTGTAGGTTTATTGCTCAACTGTGATTGGTTGGTAAGTAAATCTTTTAGCAATTTTTGGTTAATTGATTTGGATTTAGGGATTTAGGATCGGTGGATGCTAAGCTGTTTCTAGAATTAGCTTACTGAGGTTTTCAGATGTTAGAATAAGGAAAAATGATGCGTTTGATTACAATTCTTAAGAATGGTGGACCAGCGCGTATTTTTTTTTCCAATGGTTAGCTTCAACAGTTAGCCTTAGTATACTTAGATTATTGGCAGACTGAGACATTTATACCCTCATTTCGTTCACAGGTTGAGGTGGCGATAACGTTGGGAAAAGTCGTTCTGAATAATCTGCAAACCCAGAAGCTTCTGGCAGAACAGACGAAGTTTCGCGTCGTTGAGCTTCTTCACCATCTCTCTAACAAAGAAGAAACAGTTCGCCTCAAGGCTGGCATGGCACTCGCAACTTTCGCGTACAACAACACTTCACAGCAGTACGCCATTAAAAACGCTGGGGGAATCTCGCTGACGGCTTTTGAGGAATTCTTGGGGTCTGGGAACGAACTTTACCAGGCCCACGCGGCTTTTCAGATCATAGTCCTGGCACGTGTGATTGACAGTGATCAGGTGAACCTGACAGCACGAGGTGTGGAATTACTAGTGCGCCTGCTCAGTTCTGATCAACAGAGTACACAGATACTTGCCGCCAGTTTGACAGCCAGCCTCGGTCACACTCGTGCTGGTGTTCCTGCGGCACTTATCACAGCCGGTAGGTTTACCCTTTTACCATTAAGCGAGACTGGGTTCTAATTTCTCTTTATAGTGTCACCCTTAAATCCAATGTAAAGGTCATGAGAATAAAGGAAATGATCACCAATTTAAGAAGTTCCTGATTGTTAAACAAATTCTCCTTGTCAGCATCATAGGAAATGTAAAGAGAACAGTATGGAGAATTTGAATTCCAATATTAGGGTATGAAGGGTTAATACTGATACACAGTACAACGGTAAGATAAGTCTCCCCCATATTGTCATCTTTCTGTAGCAGATTTGCAACAATATTGTGTAATATATATTGTGAAGTTAATTTTGGAATAAGTGTAGGCCTTGTTTGAATGAAACTCGGTGAGGTACCATTGAGTTAAAAAAAGAAAAAATTACTGCTTGGCATTTTCTTGCGAAAATTTCTCACGGTCAAAATGTTAGAAAAGTTTTTTGAATTGTATTGTTAGGTTATTTTTGGTTGGAAAATCATGGTCAATATGATTTATGAAGTTAACAGTTACCCAAGTTTATACCACAAGGAAACCGTTTTGAACCATTTTATTATGAAAAATCAAATGTGAACTTTTCAAAAATTTGTATATGACGATTGAAAATTACATTGTATAAACCAAAATATTATCACACCATTTTCTTTGTTTTTTTTCCTTGTACTCTTCAGGTTCAGTGGAGGCACTCCTCACCAATCTTTCCTCACCAAACGAAGAAGTCCGCAGCAGTGCGGCGGTTGCCCTAGGGTACCTATCGTTCGACCGCACGGCTTCCCGTCTGATGCTGCAGGCGTGTCGTAATACTCCAGGTCTGCTGGAGTCGCTGGTGGATAACCTTGGTAACGGAAAGGTATCTATGGAGTTTATGGACGAGTGGAGGCAGACTAAGATGGTTGGACTGCCTTCGGCCAGGTATGCCATTACGTACCATGCTGCTTTTGATACCAAGAGTTAGGTCTGAGTTCTTAGTTCTTCAAGAAGTAACCAAATAAGGTTGTTTTTTTTTTGTTAAGAATACCATGCTCAGATCAAATAGTCCCCTCCAAGTTTTCTTTGGTAGTTTTTGACATGATACAGATAGCGAAAGTTTATTGACACCACTGGAAAGAGCAGCATATAATCAGTTAGGCTGCCAGGTTTGAGAGCGACATGTTACTGAAAAACTATCAAAGATGCAAGACGCAAAGTCGCGAAGTTTTACGACGGAAAGTTTGAATATATGAGAAACCTTTGCTGAAATAAACAATAACTTGTCGGTCTTTTTTACCCACGGATTGATAGCGACAGTCATCGTGAACGCTCACGAAATTGCTTAGATGGACGAGAAGGACTGGAACTTTGCAGCGCACCTTTTTCGCCGCAGTCTTTTTTTTTAAGCTGTCACCTCAATTTGAAAACTCACCATTACTTTTACTTTCATTTTCCTCTACGAAAGTTTGGAGATTCACGGAGGGCCCCCGGTACCACAGAGATTACCACCTGAAGAACGTAAGTCTGAGCTCCTAGTAGGATGCGTTTCTCAGTCCGTTTGTATTTTAGTCAACCTTTCAATGAGAGCTGGAGGTTTTCATTATATTTACAAATCAAAGAGGCCATGGCAAAACTGACATGTAAGCCAGGAAACGCCCCCAAAATTGTTTCCTAATTCCTTTCAGTAATTTAAGTCATTGGATTAAGTTCTAGATAATGGAATATTGTTTTGGTGAATGCGCCTGTAGAAGGCAATCTTATGCTTGGTTTCATTTCACAGCTCCAGATGCGTCTCAGACGTTCAATTTATGATGAATTAAACGCGCCAGTCTGTAAGGAAATAGTGCATTTCGCCTTCAAACTATTGTTTCGGCACTAGCACCACGACACCAATTTATCTGATCCAAGTATATCTCCCAAAGAAACGCTGTGCACACTTGTCACTGTTTCTGTTATTGTTTGGGTTTGTTTTACTGTTAAATCTCCTGATCAGACCGTTTGCATAGAGGTTGTTAGAAAAGAGATTTTGCACCTGAGAAAATGCATTGGTGCTCCTCTGTAGCGAACTTTGTGAAACAAGATACAGATTGAGGCCTCCTGTACTTTGCTGTATCGGGGTTTTACTCCATAGCCAAAAATTATTGTACAAATGTCTGAAAAACGTACTCTTTTTCCTTTAGGAAAACGTAGACCTCGCACAACTCAAAGCATGGGCTCTTTCCGACGTCTTCGCCAGCAAGACATGAAAAGAGTGGCCTCAGCACCAGTGGTTGTAAACAGCTATCGTAATCAAGTAAAGGCTGGCATTGTCAAAGCCATGTTGCCTCGCTCTGAGTCGTCGCACATGAGAAGCGCTTTTGGAGCAGCAGAGATGTGGCGATCCAAACTACTAACATCCAGGCCTTCGCTTGAAAAAGGATTATCCAGTAAGAATTCTTGACCACATACGGAACTTAAATGACAACTGGATGACAGGAATAATTGCTGCTGTGGCCGCCGTTATCGCAGTTGTCAGACAGTGCCTGTGCACAAGACATAGATTCGTTGTCATGGCATTTGCAAAATACAACTTTCCCGTTTTCGTAAATTCTTTTAGACAGAAGTTTTGCCTGGGGTGTATGAAGATAATTTGCACCAAAAGCTGATATTTAGACCCCCTCCCCCCACCTTATAGGTAATTTTAAGTCTTTTTCATCACGCACAAGTTAAATTGCTAGCTCAAAGATTGAATGTTAAAGTCAAGATAAATTTATCTCATTAGTATCTCGCCAAATACAATCTAGGCCGATTGTCATCACAAATGTCCTTTGTCTGCCACTGTCATGCTCTACCAACCCTGCCCATGCTTCCAAAATCCAAGGCAGCAACCAACCATTTCACAAATAAAAATCAAACGCTTGCACGCGCGAAAAACGTACATGCTGGGAGGCTACTACAAGTTTTCACGACCCTTCCAGGGTTCGTGATTGACGTGGCAACTTTTCATAAACTCTTGATTACGTCGGAGTATATCGCTGTCTTTTTTTTATATTTTACCCAACATTGTTTATGCCTTGCCGTATTTTATTTACTGGTCCGAAACCTTGTACATAGGGTCATTTTTCTTTACGCACCCTGTGGAGTGGGAAAAAGAAAGAGAGAGAGAGAGAAAAAGAAAGAAAGAAAGAAAGAAAAAACAAAGACCACGGATCGAGCTTTCCCGTACTTATGTTTGGCAATTGGTCAACCGAGCAACATATAGCCTGGGAACGAGGTTGGGAATTTAAGCGTTGAACCTTGACAATAGTTTATCATAAATGATGCAATGACTTTATTGAGCTGAGTCTTCATAAAACGTTTTTCTCAGTCAACAAAACTGACCAATGAAAACCCTAAATTTCAAATGTCCTCCTAAATTTGTAGTCAGTGGTAATCAAATTTTGAATGAACCTCCATTGCTCGTCGAGTATTCTTACAATTAAATTTGTTTTCCTTGTGAACATTTGTTGCTGTCAAATGAGACAAACTTGATGTCTCGTCGCTAAAACGCGACAGTGAACAACGTTACTCTAGTTTATAGATCCCTCATGGATCAAATACACTCAAGGTAAACATCTCCACAACTGACTTGTAGCATACACTTCCGCTTTGACTACTTTTCGGAGGCGCCGTACTTGTTAATTAACAGCCCCTGATAACTATTTAGCTTCTGTCTTAAATAAACACAACTATTCCTTTGCTTTGTATATCTTCCATATTTACGTATTCCCAAAAGCTTTGTTACAAATATTTGATTTAAAGCAAGTTTAACTTTGACAAAATCAGTGACGGAATCTATGTAATAGTGTGTGATATTAAAATGGGCACGCTATCCAAAACTCTGGAAACAACAAGGCGACTTTTGTTTATACCCCTTACAGAAACTACCTTAAGACTAATGAAGGCTCTCCTGCGATTTAAAATTTTTTTCGTGAAAGACTTTTTAAATTTGAGTTTATCATCACGCGTTTTCATAACCAAAATGAAACCGAAGAAAATGCGAACCAAGCTGGTTTAAAATTTTTAGACTAAGAAAAATTTGAATCACAAAAACATGTTGCAGTGACTTCCAATTGTTGTTTGACAAGCGAATTGTTTCGAAATAATATAGACGTCAGTTAGGCTGCGTTGTGGCTGTGCCTAATTTCCTAAGTTCCTGATTGTCGACGAGATGAACGTTTAGGACAAAATTATTATTTAAAATTGTGCATGCGTCGTTGACTCTCCTAGTGTCGGCAAGCCCCGTAGAATGGTAGAAAGCATTCATCATGCCCGCCTGTAACTTTCAAAAACACGCCTTTCCTCCGATGATCTTTTGTTGTAGTAAAGATTTTCTGAAGTGTTCGTTTACAGGTGAAGAAAGTGATACATTTGGTTATTTCCTTCCGTCACAAAGGTGATTCACTCGGGTTCTGTGTACTTCCCGATTTGGATGTCAATGTCCCAGAAGCCTTGTCGAAATTGATGTACAAGTGGTCCTCGTACATGCGCATGTCGATATACTCCTACGACAAGTGAAAAGATGATTGACAGGAATCAATCAATAATTATGTACGTGCAGGTATCAGTGGACTTGAGGTAGCTACACTGTGAGGGAGGAGCCGTCAAAATTGACGTACAAATTGTCTTCGTATATAGCCATGTTTACGTATTCCTAGGAAATGATAAGGACAAAAGTCGTAAATTGGGTTTAGGCAAAGAAGAAAGCAAATGCACAATCGATTCGAGAAAAAGACAAAAAGACAAAAATTAGAGGCTTCAATGCCACCAAAATTTTGACTGAGCAATTAAGCAATGAACAGTATACAGGTCTTTACACTGATTTACCAGCGTGGGAACCGACGCAAGATGTTGCCCACTTGTCCAATACGAGTTTAAGGCCCTCCTGGTTTTCTCACAACATCACATGCAGGTTATTACCCTTACGGCGCGATTTAATGATCACAATCACATCAACACTGGTAAGAGGAAATTTTATGAATTAAACCTACCTTTTCATCGCTGAACATTTTACTAAGGTGCTGGGACAGCTCTACGAATGTTGGCCGTCGCTGAGGGGCCACTTGCCAGCAATCCATCATAAGGATGTATCTAGAGGGATTATCGACAAATGTAAGGTTTGGGGAGCGAAATTGAAAAAAGAAAAAAAGAAAGGTAGTCTTCACGAAAGTTATCTGATTGTCCCACCAATATTTTCTGTCGCGTATACCCCTTGACATTGAAATGTCTGTTTAAAATAGCATTTTTCTGGCTGAAAGATTACGTGGATGAATGCAATTTGGGTTTAGGCATTATTTCCCTGTGTTGTCTGATTGGAGTGCATTTCGATTGACTGTCATAAGAGTAATCACAGTGGATTACTATTACAATAAGAAATTAATTGATAAAAACAAGCGAATTGCCTGAAGCACGGGAAACCGTGGGCGGCGGGAAACCGCAGGTGTGTAAGTTGCGAAAGGCCTCTACTTTTTCAGCTTTTCATGTGATTGGTTGAGAGGGTGATGCGATATTTCTAAACTATTCGCGGAACAGTGATTGGAATTCTCTCTCTCTTCCAAACTATACAAGTCGGCCGCCCATTGAGGAGCAAACGTTTCAACCTGACGATTTTAGCGCAAAAAAAATAGAAGGAAATGCGCGTAGCCCCGGTTAAGGACTTTGTCGGGAACAAGGTGGCACTTACAAATCTTCAGAGCAGTGCTTAGGCCTATCCATCCTATATGAATCTTGAAGAAAGTTGATCACTTCCTGTGAGTTCATGCCTGGATACGGTGATGCACCTGTTGAAGGAATAATTCAATACTTCAATTTCTATCAATGGCTAGCTAGAGCTGTTGGATTGAATTTCAGGTGATAAAGTTCCACCTAATGCCGTCAAGATGAAAGTAGAAGCCTGCGAAATCTTACCTAACGTGACGATTTCCCAGAGCACGACGCCAAAGGACCACCTGAGTGAGACAAAAAGACGGTTTCGATTTGGAGAGAAGTTGAGAGGACAGTAAATCTTAGCTCAACAACGGTCGCCGAATAATGGCCAACATTTGTCCCACGACCTAGCTCAAAATTCTCCATCATCGATGTCATGATATACGATAACACAACGCTTTCGAGGTATGAACAGAGCACGGAAAGGTCCACGTATCATGACAGAGAACAAAACTGTACCTTGCAGTATGCAGGGCGCTTGTCTATCGCCTACCACACCTAACTGTGAAATCCGATGATTTGAGGTTGGCAACCTCGAGATTCAGTCTAAAACAGCTGTGATGATTTTTAAAAATTTTCTTAAGCGAAAAGTCAATCGCTTCTGCCAAGTTTACATTAGTCGGTCTATTTGGAAATACTTTGGACAGTTAATGAAAAGAAACCTTGATGTGCGACTCTTGAAAATTGCAACAAAGGGGCTGCCTTCAATGACAGTCAAGTTATCACATTCGTAAAATTTACTTACACGTCACTTTTTGTTGTGGATACACCATCTAACAATGACTCTATGGCCATCCATTTAATTGGAAATCGTCCTCCCTATAAAAACAAATAAAAAAATAAGTAAATAACATAGCCTTTGACTACTCTAGAGAGTTCGTTTGATGAAAAAAAACAAAAAAACAAAATCGAAGGAACAACAGCTGGTAGGAAGAAAGCGCCCATATCGCGTTGTGAGTTCTCAGGCAAATACCCTTCTGCTAAAAATGTTCGGAATTTGCATCAATTCTCAATTTAAGTCCACATATAAGACTTCATGTGCATTTTTATAACGATTTGTTATCTGATTCAGCGCAGGTTACAGTCCAGCCAGTTCTCAGTTTCCCTAGGTACTCGTTCATGTCTTTTTTAACCTCTTGCACGGTGAAAGATTTTACGATACTTTTTTCCAGAGCCCCTGCTAGGACTCGACGTCCCCAAACTCAGACCTCTCGGAAGCTGGCCTTGGCGCTCTGGACACTAAGCCACAATGTCTCTTACTAGGGCTGATCAAAAGAAAACTTTACCTCATTTATTGACGGATTCATCAGCATGCCAATGAGTTCAAAATTAGATCACAATGCTTACTATATATTACTCACTTGCGTTTTTCTTGTGTAGTGATTTTCTACGTAAATGTCCCTAGCGAAGCCAAAGTCGGCCACTTTACAAACTTTGTGTTCGTCAATAAGAACGTTTCTGGCCGCAAGATCTCTGTGAACAACCTACGAAAGCGATCGGTACAGTCGGTAGAATTCTAGGTAATAACATTTCTGGTCAACTTTACTCTCACCCCCTTCCTCGGACAAATTGAATATATTAATGTGAACATGGCTCACTCTTGATCTTCAAGCGCAGAAATCAGCTGCAAGCTATTTCACTTTAACTCACGAAACTGAGAGGAGAGATAATAATACCTTCATGGCAGCAAGATGTGCCATGCCTCTTGCAGTCTGTATGGCAAACGACAAAAGATCCCTGGAACCGAGTTTTTCAATGGGAACTTTGTACAAATCTTGGTAATATTTATCTTCTACACCACGGCAGTGACGCAAATAACTCTGAAGATCGCCATAAGCACAGAATTCCACTATAACCATCAAAGGCTCTGTAAGGTCAACAGAAAGTAATATTCAGTATAGGCATCATTCTATGGCATATGAGTAAAGCTCTTGATGCGAAGAAACAGGGTGTGAAGTAGTTCAAGAGATTTGATAAGGTGGAAGGGAAGCTGATGGAGTTAGCAGGAGGTTTTTATGTCAAACTAACCTTGTCTTGTGCAACATCCTAGTAAGCCAATAACATTTGGGTGCGGCTCAATGAGCTTGAGGAGTTCCAGCTCCGCAAGCAGATCTCTTCTAGCCGTCTCACTGTCACTTTCTATAAAAAAAATAAATGCAGTAAGTTAGGTGAGTCTGTTGGGTTTACCAAGAGAGAATAAAGTTAAAGAATGAATCTTCAATATTCTAAACTTCGCACTTCTTTTTCTAAACTTGCACGAATGAACTTTTTAGTAGACAAAGAAGGAGGGAGATGTCTCATTAAGGCTGCAAACTTCTCAGATCTTGGCGTAACCCATCGAAATTTAACAGTTTTAAGCAGTCTGTGTTTAGACGTCGACTGCATCATCACTTGGACGATCGAGGACGATCGCTTGCGTTCGTTCAGGCCTTTTCTTTTCTTATCTTCACCTACCGCTGATACTGATTTCTTGCTAACTTTTGACGCAAAGGATGAGCTCCCTGTGTTAATTATTTTCAGACACATATTTTCCACTCTTCTACTTGCCTTTTACAATTTTCACTGCAACGTGCATTTTTCCCACACATCCTTTGATGCCCTGTGCCTGTGCTTTCATAACCACGCCAAATGCACCCGATCCCAGCACCAACTGCAAGTCAACTCTGTTCCGCGGGAATTCCCAGGGGTTGTTTGATAACTGAGTCACCGAAGCTCCTTGCTCCACATTTGGTTGAGGTAGGGGAATATTTGGAATGTTATGGCTTAATAACTAAAGAAAAAGACGTAGAAAAGCATTTAAGAGTGAACCCTTGGATGCCTACTATTCGAGTTGAACACAGTTGGAAGGATAAACGAGAAAACAAGGTGAAGTTGAGTCTCTACTCGTAATATGAATTGGTATGGAGAACTCCCCCTCCCCCTGGGTAGGATGCTGGTTCATTGCATGTTATCTTCTTCCCTCCCTCCTGGAATTTCGTCTGGCCTCTTTTGTAGTTCATTTATACTCCTGATCGGAGGGAGGCTAAGGATCGAACCAGGACATCTCGACCCAGAGCCTTGCGCTAACTGCCTGTCCATCGGACAGCATAAAGAGGTTCTTACCGCGGTCATTTCGGCTGGTTCCTGTTGGCTCGTAGGCCGGCTGTTCGATGGCGTATCCCCTGGGCTGTTATTCTTGTGCATCTTCTTAAAGAAGCAGAAGATTGCAATGATACCAAACATGATGGCCAGGAAACCCCCCCCGACCCCACCCACTAATGCTGTCATATTTTCAGTGAGTGCCGCGAAGCCTTTACTGGTCTGCGCTTCATTATTGGATTCTGGAGGAGAAAACAAAATTAAGATTCTTAATAAATGAATCAAAACAAATTCAAAGTTAACTGAGTTGACAGAAAAACAAAGTCCATATAACAGACCTCCTTGCAAAGTTAAATTCGAAAATGGAATTTTAAGTGGCTGGGTTTTGTACATTCCCAAGGTGGCTCTTCCCTCAATGTTTTCCAGGTGTAATTTTAATTTGGAGTATTTCTTTTGGTGGAAGAAGGAAAACCGGAAAACCTCAACCGACTCGTGACGTGAGCTACTAGAATCGAACCCGGGCTGGTTGAGCCTTCAGTCTACTGTTGTAGTGATCAAAATGGCCGCCGTGACGTCATGTGAAAGCGATATAGGAATGCGATAGAGGAATGAATGCAATATGTGAATGCTTCACTGACCAGGTTGGTCACAGCAATTTCAAAGCTGACGAAGATTTGAAATCGGACGCTTTTTTTACTGGAAGGCGTCTTCTTACCTTTTTTCTTGGTGTTGGCAAAATAGGTGGAACTAGGAGTACTGGTGCCTAGGCTGTTGGTTGCCAGGATACGGAAGTTGTAGTTTGTGTCTGGGTCGAGGTACATGATGGTATATTTGTTTTTGTTAGGCGGTTTAATCTGGATTTCATTCCAATCTTTCTGTGAACTCTTTCTGTACTGGAGTATCAAGGCCTTCAGTTCCAGGCCACCATCATCGTTAAATGTCCACGTGACCAAAGCTTCTCGATCCGTGGTTTCCACGGAGATTATTGTTGGACTTTCTGGACGAGCTGTACAAAAATGAACGAATGAATAAATAGATGAAGATAAGGGAAACAACAGAGCAGATCAATTGAAAAAGATTATCTTTCTTGATCCTCAAAATCACGAGGGTGAATAGTTTCACTCTGATACGTTGTCAAAATAATTTTAGTTTACCCTCCCAAAATTGCGGAGAGGGGCAGGGGGGGGAGGGGAGGGAGGGAGAAGCCCCTGGAACTGGCGTCCCATAAAAGATGGGGAAGGTAACAATACTCCATGTCATTTCATGGTGATGAAATGAAACCGGAGTGTAAGCTTCAGCTGGATGGGTCTTGTGGTCCACAAGCTGTTTTTACCTTTATCGTTCTGTATTACACGCAATAAAGCGTGGACTTACTTTTTCCCGACAAAGAAATGTTAGCCGAAGATCGGCCTAAAGCATTTACAGCTACGCAGGTGTATATTGTCCAAGACTCTTCTTTGACCGTGGTTATTTCAAGAATGCTTTGACTCGTTGCAGTATCGCTTGTCGTTGTCATGCTGTATCCATTGATTTCCTCGCCCTGGGTAATACTGAAAGTTTTGTTTTTCCTGTCCCTCCAAGTCCATGAGAAAGACGGACCAGGATTTCCGCGCGACACACAAATCAACTTGGCTTTTTCGTCCACATTGGCGTGGAACTTTCGTCTCCCGTATATCCCAGGTGGTTCTGAAAACAAAAACGGAGGAAACAAAAAAAAAAATGAATTTGAAGATCCCACATTTCAAAGAGGAGGAAACGACTGTTTATTTGCTATAAATGACAGGATTTATCTTCCCTTAAAAAAGAGGATATGAAAGCACAGCGCGTTGCTGTGTGTAAGGAAATGTGTTCCAACCCAAGCTTGTAAGAGCCAATAAGGATATTACCAACATTTTCAAGGCTACGCGAAGTCAAAAGGAAGTAGGAACGTTTTCCTTCAAAGAAAACATATTCCTTCGGGAAGATCAGTCCATTCACATATGAAAATGTTTTTATATGGATACATTATTAACTTTGTGAACGATTTCTGATGATCAACTACTTTCTATTTCAAATGAAAATCCATTAAATCTTCAGGATATCTCTTCATTTAGTGCACCATATATGGCGTCCTTAGGCGTTTCAGTACTAGTTTCGTATTTTCAAATTGCATGAAACAAATGAAAAAACGGCAATTCGTAATGTACGGACTGGCAGGTAAATAATTAAGCTTGATATCCCCCATCATACCAAAAACGGTGACGGTAAAGTTCAACTGGTCTCCTCCAAGTTCGTTGACCGCTGAACATAGATATGTTCCACTGTCCTCCGCAGAAGCTTGGTGTATCACCAAAGTTCCACTGATTTCCTGTTTGGCCCTGCCGTCTGGCAGCTGTCCATCCATTTTCTGCCACACGACGTCAGCTTTAGGGAATGCATTGACGGAGCAGTCAAGCACGAAGTCTAGCTTTGATGCATTTTGGGTCAGGTTTTGTATCGTTGGGCTTTGGCTGCTTAACAGTGGACGGGCTGAAAGATACCGCTAACATGTTAAAATAAATCTCCATTGACTGTGAATGTATGAAAATCATATCTGTGAACTGCGGATAAAGACGTGAATATGAAAGCGATCTTCGCAGTAGTAAGCACTACTTGAGCAGTAGTGAAAAATAAGGCCTGAAAAAAATTCTGGCCCGTACGGGATTTGAACCCATGACCTCTGCTATACCGATTCAGTGCTCTACCAAATGAACTAACAAGCCAACTGGATTATATGGAACCAACATAATGACCAGCTCCCAATTGGCTTGAATCTCCATTGTAGTCTGGAATTTCATTGCCTTTGCTTCACTACACTCTGATTGGACGAGTAACTTGTGCCAAACACTCAGCTAATCCGAGGCGAAACTGTCGCGATATCATGTCGAGCAGTTAACTCATTAAATAAAGGAACTAACCTTTCACAAGAAGAGTGATGTTTTGCTGGACGTTTTCGAATGCATCTCCATCTATATACAGCGCTCTGCATGAATAATTTCCGTGATCATAACGATCAACATAGACAAGGCGAATGGATTCCTTGTCTAGTACAGTTATTGGGTATTTCCTTTGAGAGTATATCATAAAGTGGCCTCCATTTATAATAGAAATAACTTTCTCTGAGCCTTTATACCAAACAGTCTTGTACCAAAGTCCAGACTGGCCGTTAGATGTCTTACATGGTAGAGTGATATTTCTTCCTTCTCTTGTTGTAATTCCCGACGTGTCACCGGTTGCATCTGTGTATGAAATATCAAAGAGACTAATGATTATGCATACATAATACAGAAGCGAGGGAAAGGAGTAATTTTTGCAATTAATGCACTTTAGTATATAACGGAACCGTGGATAGCGTTGAAGGCGCGCCGTGATTGGCAACTCAAATCTCCGGATATCCTTACCGTTAACCTCCGAGCGACGTGCGTGGGATTTGCCCCCGAAAATATTGCAATCGTTGCAAGAACGAATGAGTTTAAATCATACTTTTGTGCCATATTATCTCACTGTTTTAGTATATACTGAAATTAGTATTCACTTCAGTGTCGGTGGCTCGCCGTAAATATCAACCCTACCAAGCCACTTCCACTTCATTAAATATATGTTAGCTATAATGTATGTTACGTAAATAATGTTTACTCGAGAGTTACAATAGATTGTGTAACTTTGATAATTCGGGTGATGTTTGTATTGAAAAAGACTGACACCCCAGCGGAACCATTGCCAGATTCTGTAAGATGATTGTCAGCCGAGTATTACACGGTCTAATTAGCAAAATCTAATTGATCAAAGAAAAGTCTCAAGAACTGAGAAAAGCTAATGAAAAAAGGGAGCAATTTTCTAAAGAAACTGTGGTGCCGCGTCGGTGGTAGAGTATAGCAGGTAATTTAGTGTTAACAACTGAGATGAAAACGTAAATTGGCCACCTTAAAGAGTGAAGAAGCTGACGTTTCGAGCGTTAGCCCTTCCTCAATCGCTCTGACGAAGGGCTAACGCTCGAAACGTCAGCCTTTTAACTCTTTACGGTGGCCAATTTACGTTTTCAACTCAGTTGTTAACACTAAATTACCTGAGAAAAAGCTAGTTTCCTAACTGGAAAATCGGGACCAAATAATTTCAAAACCCTTAAGACCCTAGTCCCAGTCCTTTTAAGAAGGACTCATAAGAGATAGCGTCTGCGTGAGGCAAACTCTTAAATCGTTCATAAACATCTGTTTTCAACATTTGCCTTCACATTTCACATATTTTCTTTAACTTGTTCCAGCCATCCGAGTAGTGTGCAGAGCGAAAAGTAACGCCAAAAAAAGTTTAAGAAAAAGGAAAAGAGATGGCTGGTTCCCAATCATTCCTATTCAGTGATTTCCATCCTCAATTAAGTTTCTCTCAAACAGTTACAAACCGTCGTATAACTAAAACCTGTAACAGGCTGCATACTTTTCAAATACCTCATAGCAAATATTTGTCATTATGACTGACGTTTTATCTCCTTTGTTATGTATTGCATACAAATAAGTTTTAACGTCATTCCTTGAAATTTTTAACGGATCGAGCAGAATGATTCTGAATTGACGTTTCGACGAGGTACGATACAGGTGAAAGCTTCCGGTTAATTCCAAATTATTGATTTCTGTTGTTTATTACGTTAATAACTATCCAAATATGAAGCCTTGGATCGTGGTCACGACCATACATAATGGCTTCCAAACGGTGCTATAACACCTCCCTTGATATGCATCAATTAATAGGAGAAAAATTAGAAAAACGTGTTTTCGAACTTCAAAGATAAGTTCTAAATTACTAATTTTATGACAAATAGAAAAAGTTTTAACATTCAATTCTTGCAAAAATACACTCGGAAATGCCGAAATAATGATGCTATCGTTGGTGGAGTAGATAAGCACGCAATATTTTGTTGTTAATTTTAAAAGCTCATCATAAGTGATGACATACTTTTTTTTTTCAAAAAACCCATATATCATGCGCAAATATGAAAGTACTGTCGAATGAAAACGGTCGCGTTCCAATTACAATTACCTCTGGTATTTGAGCTTGGAATATCAAAAGGGCTTATATAAGTAGGAAAAAAAACAGAATGAAGAATTAAAAGGAGTCGTACTGCAATATGTTAGCGAAACGTGAAACTCGGATAATCACACCAAGGTATCTATACCACACTTTCTTTTTCGGTGAAAACGACGAAATAATAAGTTGCAGCTGAGATAGGAGCGAAACTGCATCTTCTCGACAAGAAACGGAAGAAAAAAAGAGAAATGAGAAGGTCAAGTCAAAGAGAACACATTTACGTTTATGTCTTTAGATTTGCCTCATAGATTGATTTTACATGAGAAAAGCATCTTAGCTCTCAAGAATGTCTTCCTATCGAGCTCAAAGCTGAGTCCGTAAAGCACGTTTGACAAGTGATAGAATCTTCACTTGCCTCTTGGTGTCCCTCTCTAACCATTGTTTAGTACTTCAGTCAAACTTTCTCTCTCTCGAACGAGATATTTAGGTCGTTCCCTCGAGAACATATTTGGCACCTGACAGTTTTGATTAAACTCTACTTAACAGCGGCCTTAATTAAATGAATATGTCTCTTTCTATAACTGGCGAAATGTTCCTGAGTTTCCGCACAAAGCAGTCTTTTTTTTAATTGTCGCCTCAGTATAAATACGCAGTGGAATTCAGAAAACTAAAAAAACTATCACGTTTGGTTCTACTGAGCCTCTGTTATGCCCTGAGAGAAGAAAAAATGTCATTATCACATGATTTTGGAAGATTTCCTCTAAAGATGTTAGAAATGTGGCTTGATTTGTTGTTGTTGTCAATAGTAGCAAAATAAGTCATGACAGAGAGTTTTGATAATAGTAAATTTCCTTTATGAGTTTGTTATTTCAGCGACTTCCGAAAATGGGAGGTGTTTGATATTCACAGAAGACTAGTTCCAATTTCGAATTCTGGCCTTGTGATTTTTCTTAAGTTGCAACCATTGTCAGCAAAAGTTTAAACATATGAATAAGAATAAACAAAAGGACTCACCTTGGAGACGTAAAAGAAACATCAGAAAAAAGAGCAGCATATATGGAACTTCCATCTTGCACTGCTAATAAATCACCTCTCTTCCACGGAATTGTCTTCAAGTCACCTGGAAAAGATAATCCTGTAGTGTAAACAGGTTCACGTGTTTTCTCAAACAACTATTGAGATAAACTATCTCATCTGTGCGTATGTTCCTCAAATCAAAAACACAGTTTACCCGTTTAATTGATTAAAACTTGCGTCAACAAAACCCTCACACGATCTGTTCATGAGCTACGACTTCTCCATTTGTTGGTCTAATTAGAGCGACGCAATAAATTATCTGTAAACTAGACACATCTGTCTAACCTTTTTCTAAGAGCGTGCATTAGATATGTGGCTCTCGTTTCCAAAACGCAATAAAACATCTTTTCATGCAATTACTTTCATCGGTATTCTCTTGGAATGTTTCCATGACTTGCACTCGACTTACAGACCTCCGAAAAAGCCCAATACTGCGTTATCTTACCCTGGAAATCACTGATAAGAGGTATATCTTGACGCTAAACTGTTTATCATAACATCACACGTACCGCGGTTATTGAGAGAAGTCATGCATTTACAGGCAAGGTTTGCGTCACCAAACCAGGATTACCTACCCCGAAAACAGATATGTCCAAAATTAGATCAAAGAGCTGATCAGCTTGCGTGACTGGTGAATCAACGAATTCAAAATATTTGTTTTTATCGTGGCGGTCAATGTCTTTGGTTGAAATTAAAATTAAAGGCGCCGGAGGAAAGTGAAATGTTTGTCTATCACCAGCTCATGTCTCAAATTCTTTCTCATTTCTTGAAACTTCCTGCCTTGAAATCGCAAATACAATATGATCTCTCCAGTAGATGGGTCGACAGAATATTATCTTACCGCGCCTACATGGCTAGGTAAAGGTTTTATGGGTTACTTAAATTAAAATAACTGCCAAACCGAAAAAAACTGAAAAAAGATCACTACTGCAAATAAGCGTGATCACTCTTTCAAATATGGCGAAGTGATCGGAGAAAAGCAGTAAACTAGCCGATCAGAGCTTGCATTCAGCGGGATACATAGAAAACATGAAAGCAGATGACAAAAAGACTTGGGCGGATCTCACAATTACACATGTATAATGTTCCTTGTGGTATTAATTGCCGAATAAAACACTTATTCAAGCATTAACCTTTTCACTCCTAGGAGTGACCAAAAAGGAAATTCATCCCACAATAAAAGTATATTTTCAATCAAAAGAACTGGAAAAAAACGCGTAGAAATAAGAATCCAAATCAACAATTTCTGTCTGCCTCCACATCAAAGCTTCGCTTTCTTTCTGTTTGAGTTACAAGAATTCTTGATAAAAAACCAAATAATTAGGTGGCTATCATTTGAAGTGTAGCGATGACACACACAACAAAAGCACTTAAAAAGAAAGTATGCCTTTTTATTTTCGATCTTGCATCACATGAAGGCCTATCTTTTCCCTTTTTGTTCGTTTTTTGGCTAAAATAGTTTAAGATTTTTTATTAGAGTCGTTTGTAGCGATGTAGAAAATTACCTTCATTGTGCAGGGAGCCAAAAAGTACTCGCTGGATAAGGAAGAAAAAAACAACAAAATGCAAAGAATTTGCCTGGAAGGAACGAAGATTAAGGATGGAGAAGATTGGAATGGATTTCAATCAACAAAGGACAATATTTCTCAAGCAGTACTGTGACGTAAGTATCTAAACATCCATTTTATAAACAAAGTTGTTCATCGTGTTTATATAGATAAATGAACGTTTTATGTGTAATGATGAAGGGTCCAGCTATCAAGCCGGACTGATAGCCACGTCTCGACTGCTATACTGGTAGTCTTCGCCTTAACTGCCAGTTCTCGTCTGCTAGTCGTCGCTTGACAAAGTCTAGCAGTCGAAACTTTGCGATCAATACAATTGATAGCCTGACTCTATATCGCCTTAGGACAAACGATAAAACGTTCACTTATCCTTTCCACAGTCAGTGATGTCTCTATTGAACATTAAAATCGCGACAACGATGACAGTTATTAAATGAAGCGATCAGAATTTGCCAAAAACGCAAAGCGTGAAATGTTTTCCTATTCAGAAATCAACTTTCCCGCCCATTCATCCACAGTTATGACAGTTATTTAGAAGGTAAACTTCCGAATCTAATTGTTCCGACCACTGCACTCAGAGAAATATCCGATAAAAGAATTTCAAAACCGCTTTATCTGTATCTTGTATCATTTCTCCTGTTTTATATACAAATTACGTAATTTACAATATTTCATTCAGAACAAAAGTTAACAGCATATATCAGTGAAAAGCAAAAATATATTGATAAGCCGGTTATTTTACAAGGAGCCAAACTGCGTAAAAATAATTTTTTTCAGTTTCTTTAGCTAGAACTGAACATCGAGCCGACCACCTGTTTGACGGTGTATCTTGTCGCGTATTGTCAAAAGCTAATGGGGGGAAACTAATCTTTTTTCTTTATTGCTAGTATCTCACATTCTACCTTCACCTTTTTCGTTTTCTCCAACACAACATTATACAAAAGATAATTTTTCATTTTACCTGTTACGATGTCAAATATTTTCCTAATATACTTCTACAGCGGTACGTGTGTTCATTTAAATGTCGGACTGTACTTCACATCAAGGCCTTAGAAGGGGTTACAGCTGTTTATGTGGTTTCACTTTTGATGACAAAAGTTCAACTAACATTTAGGAAATACGAATGGCGAAAGGAATGCTTCAATTCATGTGTCCGAATATCACCTAATAACTGTCATGGTTAATTGACTAATTGTAAATGATTATTTGTAAGAGAAATCGAAAATTATCAACCCCTTGAGGTGTCTTCAATTTCTCAGTAATCATTGCCAAAAAATTATAACATTCGAGGTCATTCAACTCAGGGGTGCCATTTCACCAGAATGGGGCACGATTCAATTAAGGGAGCGCGGGATCTGGGTCGGTCGACGATGCCAATCTTCCCCTATTTAAACAGTTTAACATTTGTTAGTTTAAATGACAATAAACAGCACGGTTTTACAGTTAACAATCAATTAAAACTAAAACGTCCACGAGTTTTTTTGTTTGTTTTCGGAACGTTTAAATCATACGATTGATTAACATTAGAAATTAGATTATGGTCTCTCTATAGATTTTGCCGCCGCAGATTGATGTATTTTAGAACCTTAAGCTTCTGTAATAAAAATCACAAATTATTTTGCCTGTTAATTCGCCACCGTGATTGTTCGTTGAACAGACCTCGGAAACATTCACCATCAGCAGACTCGAATAAGGGTTGATTTGATCATTAGGAAACTAACGTGTGTCTCATTCAGTACCGCTTAAGAATCTGTAATTAACAAGCTGGGACGGATACGTGGATTTCCAGCGCGGTTTGCCCATGGCAGTTTCTCCAAACGCGTCTAACTTCGTGGCTGATTTGCGCATACAGGGCTTTACTTTTCGTTTTCAGTTTCTTGATTTATGAGCTAATCTAAACAAACAGGCAACCAAACATACCGAAAATAAATCAGTGATACTTGAAGCTGATCGAATGTTGTGAAAATTCTTCCTTGTAGAATGAATAGAACATACGGTTTGCTCATTAGAGAGGATGTATACACCAAATCTCGTGACTTCAGGGGTCAAGTTACGCCTATCACTATTAACCTAAATAATTCTAAATCTTAAATTGTGCGATGATACCTCTGTTACTTTAATTTGCATGTAAAGTAAATAAAACCGTTATCGGTGAGAATACGTTATTTTGTTTACTAAAAGATCCAAAAAAGGGCAACAGCTGAACACAAAACGGTTCAGTACTTAAGCCAATCACTTCGAGGTTTTGTCGAGGCATTGCAATTAACTTAACTAAGTTTACACAATGTTTACCCAGCTTGTTAATTATTGTCAGTATGTCTTAGAAAATTCCTTCCTACCTGAACTCGTGGCTTTAATGAGACAACACAGAGAAGATCACCGTAGGGCCTTCTAGGTCGATTTGATACTTTTCCAATCTCCGTTTTTACCATACAAGCCTCGCCGTACAACAGACAGCTCTTTACTGTCTGTGTGTAATTGCTGATACGTGATCATGACCCGGTGTGGCTCTCAATACAGGATAAAGGAATCATCGCGACAAATCCGAAAAAACCAGGTTATGACTTTATCTTTTTAAGTTGACAACTAAAACCAAATCCCACTTAAAACTCGAGACTTGTTCCAGAAAAAAATTAACCGCCAACACTTTTTTCCACCGGCCCCCCCCCGGTTTTAACTCGTTGCTGCACGCAAACACAATTTGTGTAACAACACAGGAATGAAATGTTCAACACTCTGCGATATTCCTAAAGTATCAGTTTTTTTTCTTAATTATAGCTAGCATTAACCCTATCCCACAAAAACAATGTTTTTTTTCTGCATATAGGCACAGGAAAGATTTTTGACCCGGAAAGTTTAATATTTCTAAAGCTCTTTTACCGAATTGCTGTGAAGATCAAAGTTTAAAGAATATCGCTTTCTCTTTTTATCGGTTTTTTGTCTCTGAGAAATGAAAATTTTGGATTTGATCTGTACTGAATTTCTATTTCTATCCCTGGCGAGAGCTACTTCCTCTAACTCTTAAGAAACGTTTAATTAGGGAAACTGCTTAAACTACAAGGTTATTTCGTTTTAATTCCGCCCCTGTCAACATAAACAGCTTGTTTTTTTTAAGTAAATACTGGTACCCTAAAGGATGTTAGCTGGCAGCCTTTTGGTTTGCTTTACACTTGCCAATTGTCCGCTCTTCATGTAAGACGCTGTGATATATTAAAAAGGCTTACGTGCCAGACCAGGCATATTTAGGACAATACTGACACTTAATTGAAAATTAATGGAGGGCAAAATTGACGGCGCCATAAGGTCTCTATTAATGAGCAACAAAGATTTCACGCATTAGAAAAAGCGAAAGAAAGGTTCAATTCTTAGTAAAGCAATTTTAAGGGATTCTTCCAAGAAACCCTTATTCCGTTCGCTTCTAAAGTTAAGAAATGCTCGAATAAATGAATGAAGAGAAGCTAAAAAAAACTTGGTATTACC